GAAACCCTATGTAGGGTTGCTATGAGTCAGAAAATGCAATGGTATTTAGTAACAAACACAACCATATGTGTATATCAAAAGATTTCACCAAAAAAGTAAAAAGAGAACCCACAGACTGGGAAAAATTTTTTTGCAATAAGATATGTGTCAAGGGATAAATCTCTAAAAGTTGTAGTTTTTTTTTTTTTTAAAACACATCTTCTACATTTACAGTTGTGACAATCACATTTAGTCCTGATAACAATTATACACAACTGATTTGTAAAATCCTGTCCCCATCCTCTTTCACCAGACCCATCTGGAAATGAGGAAAACTACTATTCAATGGGGTTTCTACCTACTTAACTCATTCTGAAACTAAGCACGTTCATGAAAGCTTGTAAGCCAGCTACTTCATGTCTTTATAGTCCCCCAGTTTTGATAGACACTGTCTAAGTCACCTGTCCCTAGCAACCCAGTGTACCGACAAGGCAAGGAGACCCTTGAAATGAGGAGTCCTTTTCTTTCGGTTGGAATTCTGTAATCTTTTTCAATTTATAGAAAACTTAACAGCTCCACAAGAAAAAGACAAAGTATGCAGTTTTTAAAAATGGGCAGAGAATCTGAACAAACACTTCACCAAAGGCATTCGGGTGAACAACGAACACATGAAGAAATACTCGAGATCATTAGTTACTAGAAGGATGTATATCAAAATGCCAATGAGATATCATCTTGCCCCAGTTATAAAAATAAAACAGAAACCAACAAAAGTTGGTGAGGGTGTACAGAGACTAGAACCCTTATACACTGCTGGTGGGATTTGTAAAATGGTGCAACCACTGTAGAAAACAGTATGGCATTTACTTTAAAACTTGGAAACGGAAATGCATATGACCCAGTAATCCCATTACTAGGTATAGATCGCCTAAGAAATAAGAGGCACGGCACAAATAGATATATGCACATCCTTGCTTATCACACCACTATTCAAAATAGATAAATGATGGAAATAACCTAAATGACCATTAATGGAAGAGTGGATAAACAAATTGTGATTCATACACTCACACTGTAACATTACACTGTGTTAAAGAATAACAATGAATGTGTGAAACACCTCATAACATGGATGAACCTGGAGGCTATTTTGTTGAGCAAACTAAATCAATCACAAAAAGAACAAATATTGTATGAGACCACTATTATAAAAGATAAAGAAAAGGTTTTCACATGAAACGAAACCTTATCTGATGGTTACCATGGTTAAGAGCAGAAGGGAGAGTAAATTATTGTCTAGAGGTTAGACATGTGTTAGCTTGGTTGAAGAAGGCAATATATAACATAAGGGAGGTCGGCAAAAAATAGTGGAGGCAGAGGAAGACCCTGTGAGAAGTGCAATACAGGTAAATACTGCTATATACAAAATCCTGTGGTAACAGCGATGTGCACGGATGGACAGGCAAGCTGAGTGGGTGTGGGAGGCACCCCAACAAATACATATAGGTGTGACAAAGGATGTACAGGTGTACAATTCACAATAAAAAATTCAACAAAGGAAAAACAATTTACGTTGTTTCTAAATTTTTTGCATAGTAACTTTAAAAATTGCCAGTAGATTATTCACTAATAATTACCATCGTTGGAAATATGTCAATTTTTCTTGAAATTAATAGAGTCTTGACAAGCTATCTATGAATTTGTGATTTGAGAAAAGTCTATTTTAACAGAGGTGAATTCTCCTCTCCTGACCCCAAAGAGGTGAAAAATAGTCTAATTTCTATTTAATGACAAGTTATAACATCTATCATTGAGACTTGTGGCTTGAAAAAAGCATTGTAACTTAGTATTTATTTAGATGATAATATTCCCCACATTTATTGGCAAATTCAATGCAACTCCTGACAAATCCTAGTTGGCTAATTTTGTTTCCTTACAGATATTGACAAGCAGATCCTAAAATCTATAAGGAAGTGCAAGGAATCTGAACAGCCAAAAACACCTTGAAGAAGACCGAGGTCAGTAATCTCACACTTCCCAGTTTAAAAAAAAAAAATTACTACAAGCTACAGTAATCATGCATGATACTGGTATAAGGCTAGACATATAGATCATTGGAGTAGAATTGCAAGTCCAGAAAGAAACCCTAACATCTATGATCAATTAATATTTAACATATATTTAATAAAGATGCCAAGACCATTCAATGGGAGAAAGAATAGCTCTTTCAACAAATGGTAGTGGGACTGGAAAAGAATGCAAAAGAATGAAGTTGGACCCCCTTTTCTCAAACTATACACAAAAATTAACTCAAAATTAATCACAGACCTAAAAGTAAGTGTAAAAACTATAACACTGTAGAAGAAACATAGGGAAAAAAATACTTTGGATCTGACAAAGGATTTTTAGATATGATACCAACAGAACAAGCAACAACAACACAAAATAGATAAAATGGGCATCATGAAAATTAAAACTTGTGTGCACCAGAAGCTACCATAAAGAAAGTAAAAAGATAGTTCGTGGAATGAAAATTATTTGCAAATCCAATGGAATATTGCTTGGTGAGAAAAAGGCAAGAAGTCTTAATACATGTTACAACATGTATGAACTCTGAAAGGTAAATGAAAGAAGCTAGACACAAAAGAGCACATATTACATGAATCTGTTTTCCTGGTGTGGCACTGTAGGATAAGACTGACCCACATGGTCAGTTTGAATCGCAAAGTTGGCGGTTCAAACTCAATAGTCACTCCTCGGAAGCCCTATACAATGTCACTATGAGTTGGAACCAACTCAATGGCACTCAACAACAACATAAAAATATAGGAAACTGCATATAGACAGAAGGTAAGTACTCTTTTGCCAGGGGCTGGGGGATTTGTGAGGACCTTTGATGGTGTACTAATCGAAAGATGGAGCCCACCAAGCACTCCACAGGAGGAAGATGTGACAGTCTGTTTCTGTAAAACTTACAGCTTTGGAAGCCCTTTGGAGCTGTTCTACTTTATCTTAGAGGGTTGTGATGACAGTGGGGTGAGGGTAGGATTAGCCGGGAAATAAGGACTGGTTGCTAATGGAGCATCTTATCTGGGGTGATAAAAATGTTCTAAATTTATATCGTAGTGATGATATGCACAACCTCTGTGAATATATGTAAAATATATGCTGAAATGTATACTTTAGCTAAATGTAGACAATGTGAAAATACATCTCAATAAAGCTGTAAAAAAAAATTGCAAGAAGAAAATAAAACTCTTTTAATTTTTGAATACATTTGGCTTAAAAACAATGAAAAAATATAAATAATGATTGTAAGTCTACCTTGCCATAATCTAGATACCAAACTAAAATAACCAGGAACAGTTCCAAATGGATCATTGACCATGATCTTTGATGCTAAGTTCTGATGAATATGTTCTTGGAGGTTGATGGGTGTAGTTCCTGCTCATAGTTTTAAATTCTCTCTTCTTGAGAGTAAACACTTTATACTTAACAGATTTCTCTCATGATCCCTTCAAACATGTAAGAGACTCATGAAAACTGTGTGATCCTCTATTGACTGCAGACTTCCTGGTAGAAATCTAACTTCATCTCCTGACAGCTTTACTGTTTCTCACTTTCCACCAAAAGATGTTCACCATCTTTACTTCAGAGTACTTTACACTCTGCACAGTCTAATATTCTTTCCTGATATGATCCACTCCACATCTAAAAGTGGAGACCCTTGTGAGGGCTGGGCACAGAGCTGGATGGGCATCATCACATACAAGACCAAGATCTCAGAGCACCACATGACAAATGCCCACCTCTGTCCAGTTTGACTCAGATTTAAGGCCCCATGTAAAGTAGTTCTGAGATGTCCTGTCCACTGTGACCAGTTTGGCTGAAATTTAGGACCCAGTATGGAGTATTTCTGAGATGTCCTGTGTGCCTTAGTGAGGTTACTGATTCACACATTTAGGTCCATTTTAGCATGGGAGTTGGGACCTTGTAGTCACACGGGGACCAGCCCAGTTTGCCAATCCAGGTCAAAGAAGAGAACCCAGGGAAGGGTTTTGGTGTAGTGTAGTAGTAAACCACAGTAGCTCATCCTTTCATGTGTCTCTTCCAGATCCTCCCTTATTCACCTCTCCAGACCTGGCCAGGCAGGAGTAAGAATGGCCAGAATGACTGTTTAAGTATGGCATCTAACTCAAGTCAGGCTGAACAGAACTCTCTCTGGAGCCTCTTGGGAAAGAGCTATCCCATCCCCTGTAGTTGTATGCAGGGAACGAGAGTGTATGGTTTGAAGGAAGGCAGCCCTTGATTTAAATTTGGTCCCAACTATTTAGTAGCTGTGTGTCCTTGAATAAAGTATTTAACTTTTTGGAATGGTGGTTTCTTTATCTACATAATGGAGATAATAATATATCCTCCCTAGACTTGTTGTTGTTGTTGTTGTTATGTGCCATGGAGTTGGTTCTGACTCATAGCGACCCTGTACAGGGTTTCCTAGGCTGTAAATCTTTACAGGAGTAGAAAGCCTCATCTTTCTCCCACTGAACAGCTGGTAGTTTGAACTGCTTACCTTGCGGTTTGCAGCCCGATTTGTAACCACTATGCTACCAGAGCTCCTTCTAGACTTCTTAGAAAGACTAAAATTAAACATAACACAAAACACAGTACCTAGCTCAGTCACTCAGTGAGGATACTTCATTGGAAGTATTGCTGAGAGGAGCTTTTGACAATGGAAAAGTTCTTGTCCAAGAACATCAGTGCAATTTTAAAAGTTTTCATCCCAAAATGACTTTTCTGGACCAACTGACACCTGTACTTCTGCTGATTATGCAATGAATGAGTAATATTAATGTAGAAATTCATGTCACTTCATTATTAAGATTAATTATCCCACTTAAAAAGTACCTACCAGAGTCTGTTGGTGTTGTTTTCCTACTTGATAGCCTCCAAAGTGCAATATGCCTGGTTTTGCCTGTATGACCTTATTATTCAGAAGTTTTGCATAAACCTCTATAAAAAGCAATGTAGATAAGTACATTATGAGACATAAAATGAAATATTAAGCTAAAGAACATCCTATTAACATGGGCTGTTTTTAATTTGGGACACTTTAAGAACAGAAAAGCTTCAGGATGAGACGACAGCTGTCAACGATATGGTTTGCTCCTAATAATCTGGACTGCGTCTGTCTCTATTTTTAAACACCACCTGGGAGTCTTTACTATCACAATACAAACTCATATACATTTTACTACCTATTAAAATCATTTGTTCTTCACACATTTGGTACAAATCATTGCAATACAATGCCAGGAACTTAAAAGTGCAAGACCTGTCTTTGCTTTGTATAAACCCCATGATTACTTATTACAAAGAATATTCAGTTCAATGATTCAAATACCAAGTGCATAATTTTATTACTGAGTATTTATTTAACTTTTATTATTTTATTTCCTCTGAAGAGAAGTGCACTGTGATGTACTATAATTTTTAGAGCTCTAAATAATTATCGGAGTCCTGCAGGTTAATGCATTGGACTGCAAGGTCAGTTTGAACCACAAGGTCAGCAGTTCAAGCTCACCAGCTGCTCCTCGAAAACCCTATACAGGGTCACTATGAGTCAGAGTCAACACGACGACCTTTCACAACAACAATAAATAATTATTACTATGGACAGCAAAGTCTCAAACAGCTTTAATTGTAATAAGAGTAATTTTTTTCAGTTTTGAGAACACGGTTTAAACAGCTGAGCTCACAGAAGTATCCAGAGCTACAAGATATTTCCCAGCTTTTGATTTAGGCAGGAGCAGAGACTTAAGGTGAAGGCACTGATAACCCAATAATTCCCTTCTTAAAGGTTGGTGGTTTGAGTCCATCCTAGGCACTTTGGAAGCAAGTCCTGGTAATCTATTTCTTTAAAATCAGCCATGGACACCCTTATAGAGCATAGTTCTACTCTGATACACATGGGCTCATGATGAATAAGAATGGACTCAAGAATAACTGATTTTTCTTTTGTTTTGTTTTTAAGTGCTTTGGCCAGGCATTGCTTTGCATACATTTGCTTATAATCTTTTTACCAACCCTACGAAGTAAGTAGTAGTTCAGATTTGTAGATGAAGAAGCTGAGACTCAATGAGTTAAGCAACTTTCCCACTGCTAATAGTTAAAAATAAAGCCCAGCCTGTATGGTCCCAAGAATTCAAATAAAGTGTTTCCCTCAATGTGAAAGCACTGCCCAAATCCTTTAAAATGATATCCAAATCATGTAAGCCACAGACTCCTTCGCCCCACTGTAATGGTAGTGCACACCTGTAGTGGGTGTGATATACGGTGTGTTTGCTCCTCACAATGTGAGCAGTCCCTGTCAGCAGTTTTGGGCCAAACTGAAGTGTTAGAATTGGGGAAGGATGATGTGTAAGGAGGTCTGAGGATCTCTGAAGGTTATTATTTGGTCATTTCTTAAGTGCTGAAATGATCATGATTTGATTGTTTTTGAAAGTTGAAATTGTTGCTTTTCTTTGTTGTTGTTGTTACATGTTGTCCAGTTGGTTCTGACCCATAGCGACCCTGTATACAAGGAGAGACTGGTGAGTGTGAACCGCCAACCTTGTGGTTCAAACTGACTTTGCAGTCTAGCTCATTAACCCACAGCGCCACACCAGAAGTCCTGTTTTTCTTTGTTGTTGTTGTTATGTGCCATCGAGTCAATTCCAACCCATAGCGACCCTGTATAGGGTTTCCGATGAGCAGCTGGTGAGCTTGAACCACCGACCTTGCAGCTCAAACAGCTTTGCACTCTGGCGCATTAACCCACAGTGCCACCCCAGGACTGTTTTTCTTTAGGACCACAAAATTTATGCAAAAATGTCCAGGAATGGTCAATTTTACAAATTTGTACTCTATAAAAGAGTCATATCAAATGTTACATTCCCCATATTTCAGATGAACCTTGGAGAATGCATTGGGGGGTGGGGGCAACAGAGCCTGGACATCAGACTCCAGCCCCGACCATTAGTCCTCCACTTCCTGGTTGCACCACCTCCAAAGATTCATTTGACATCTCTGTCTCAGCTTCTCCAGCAGTAAAATGGAAACAGAATGTACCAATGTCCTGAGATTGTCATATGGATTAAATGAGAATATACCTACTTCTCACTTATCAACGATCTTGTTATGTGACATTTCAGATTTACAATAGTAAAAACTCTACTATCCAACTATTTTGTGCATTAAGTATGTAAACCTGGCAGTAATGAATGCCAAGGTGGGAGGTGAGAAGAATATTAGCTGTGATGATTAAAATTAGGTGTCAATTTGGCTGAACCATGATTTTCATGGGTTTAACAGTTAGGTGGTAGTGAGATTTGGCAGTTATGTAATAATGTAATACAACAGTTATGTAATAACTGAACTTTGTATATCCAATGCAGTTATCCTCCATTTTTGCATTACCTGGTCTTTGGAACCTTGCCATGTTGATAAGTGAGGAGTAATGTAGGCAAAACGATCAACTTTTCACACAGCACCTATAGCACCAGGCTTTCCAGGGTAAGGAATGTGCATGAAAAAAGGTAAGATGCTGTAAAACACATGTGGTATTGAAGGAACAGGTTATCCTATGGTGTGACTAGAGTCTCGAAGGAGAGGAGAAACAGTTGGGGGTGATCCTGAATGTGTAGCATCAGATCATACAGCAAAGGGAAAGATCATGTGCCAGGGGAACCACTGGAGTAGGATAGGAAAAGATGCAGCCAAGATTTTAGAAAGGAAATGATGGAAATGTGAAGAGCTGTCTGGAAAGTCTGAGCAAGGATGAAAGCACCACAGTAGTTCTGGTGAGAGGCTCGGGATGAGGACAGAAAGACATTTGAGGAAGTGGAAATCACAGAACTTGGTGATTAATTTTTACCACAAGAATTTATCAGTTAAGAGAGGGGGTTTCCTGATCTAAATAGAACCATTGTTCTTAATAATAAAAACTATGATGAGCCCATTAAACAATACAAATAAATAAGCACCAAAAATTCCTGGGCTTTGGAGTCTCTGGGGAAACATAAGCTATGAAGCAAATGAGTTTTCTTATCACTTACTTGATTCTAGGAGATGATTAGGTACCTCTGTTCTTTTTTTGGGCTTCAGTAGGCTCCTCAGGAGGAGGGGTGATATCTTACTAATGGATTCTTCCGCATTCTTTAGCTCTCTACTTGGGGTTTTCACTACTGCCATTTTATCATGAGAAATGGAATCTTCTTTTGAGAGCCAAAAATCACTTCCTGGGAAGAAAACAGCAGCAGAATAATCATCCATGAAAAACCCCACTTTTTTTTTTTTTTTTACTTTGACAAATGTCCTCTTATCATTGTTCAGTATCCACCCCCTGCCTCTTCTCTCTCTATGGCTACAGTGTTCCCACACACGGCTACCCCATAATTTTCTTATATCCCCTCATTACTCAATCGCATACCATGGCTCAAAACCCTTCAGTTTTAACTAGTCCTTAATTCTCAATAACTTTTCCTAAAATATCCTCTCTGAGATATTCCTTGAGTAGAGTGCATGAGAAAAAAAAAAAAAAAGGTAAGGGATCTTACAGTAAAGTACGTTTGGAAAATGTTGAAGTAAACAAGAGGTTTCTTCTATTCTCACATTTCCCCAAAATCAGATTGCTAGATGTATGTGACCTGGAACCCTTTGCTGTTTAGAGACTGTTTGACAGACGCTGATGTTTAGAAACCATCTTCCTGAGCCTTCTCCAATAGGGAGTGATGCGGAGGTAGAGAAGTCTATACAGTTCAGACAGATCATCTACTTCTTCCACCCTCCCCAGGAGCTCTGTGGGTTCTGTCTCATTCTACACCTGCTGCCAGATTGGCCTTGCCTTCACACACTCCACCTTTTTCATAAGGTCCATACAGAGCCTGACTTCCTTTAAAGCTCTTGAGAAATTACTAAGAATGTCTACTATTGGTTGGCATTAATAATGTATTGCCTTGTGATGGCAGTTTAACAATCCTGCACTTAAATCTTTCACAGCAGAGTCTTTTAACATGTGACCCTAGGGCAGGCTAGTGGGCTGCTCTGTGAAGGGCCTGAGACTGAATGTAAAATCATGTGTGAATCTTTCTCAGTGTGTGTATGTTTTTTTTCCTGGAGAAGGTCAATATGTTTAGATTCCTACAGAGTCCAGCACCTAAGATATTTTACAACCCGCTTCTCTATAACATTAAGCAAAATATGTCTCCTTTCTCATCACTTCCCACTTCTCCCTAGCCCCGTTGAAAATCTGCCACCCTCCAGCATAGTCTCCCCTGTCCCTCCTTTATCCCCCTTCCCAGGCCCTTCAGCACCTGCCCCAGCTCACAATCCTGCCCCTTCCCTCCCTTCTTGTTGTTGAAGTTCCACCTTTTTCATAAGGTCCATTAGGATCCCCACACAGTGACCCTGTATAGGGTTTCGGAGGCTGCAAATCTGTAGGAGTGGAAAGCCTCATCTTTCTTCCCCGGGGCTCTGGTGGTTTGAATCGCCAAGCTTGTGGTTCTCAGTCCAGTCCTTATCTTACAGAGTCACCATGCTCCCCTCTATCCCCATAAGCCCTGGACTGCTAACAGCAGAGCCAGTCAGCAAGGTCAGTAGTTCAAACTAACCAGCGCTCCTCGGAAATCCGATGTTGTTGTTCTTAAGCGTCCTCAAATTAGTTCCGACTCTTAGCAACCCTATTCAGGAAAACCTCAAAAGAGTTTCCTAAGAGCTGCTGTTGAATTTGAACTGCCGACCTTGTGGTTCAAACCGACTTTGTAGTCCAGCTCTTTAACCCACAGGGCCACATCAGGAAACCCTATACAGGGTTTGCTATTAGTCGGAACAACCCTGGCCCCCTTAAAATCCCCCGCCTGTACTTACAGGCAGATTTAGGCCTAACCGTTTGTTTTCACACACGTTCCCATCCCTCTTCTATGTAACGGGCCCTCGCACTCTGGCCAAACGCCATTTCTCCCGGCGACCCCCTAATCCATATCCTTCTAGGTAGGGATAGGTAAAACTCCAGATCCACGCACCACTCACTGCCCTCGTTAAACTGCCCTTTTTAGACCAGAATTCTCCTCAGACCATGGCCCAGGCTGACTGGCGGCTGGATACGGGTCCGGGGCTCGGGCTGCCTCAACAGCTCGGCGGCGACCTCTTGGCCACTTGCGGCCCGGGTTCGAGGCCCTCAAACTGGAGAAAGTTCCAGGGCGAGATTCCCTGGGCAGCAGCAACCACGTTGAGTTGTCGCCATGACGACGCAGACGCGCTGCTAGGGTCTGGACGCGACTAAACTCCCCAAGGACGTGGGGGGTGGAGCCAGCAGCCGCAGCTCGAGTGCTGCAAACTGTGGGTGACTCGGAGGCTCGGCAAAGCCTGTGACACCCGAGAGGAGCTTAGAAGGCACGACTTGCGAGGTGTAAAGTTAGTGTGTTTCTTAAAAAATGGGAAATTCTGGAGACAGAATAGAGTGGAAAGCCCCAGGCAGAGCAAATCGCAGGAAAAAATGAGGTCTGAAAGGAGCGGGGCCTCTTGAGTGTAGTGGGTGGAGCTTCCCCGACTTTTTCTTAATAGTTTGTTTTTGGCTTGTTTTTTTTACATTCTCTTTTATAGTAAAAGGAACTCTGGTAGCGTAGTGGTTACAAATCAGGCTGCGAACCGCAGGATCAGCAATTTGAAACTACCAGCTGTTCCGCGGGAAGAAAGATCAGGTTTTCTGCTCCCGTAAAGATTTACAGCCTCGGAAACCCTGTACAGGGGCGCTAGGAGTCAGCAATGACTCCAAGGTGCATAACCACCACCACCACCATAACAGTAAAATTCAAACGTATTCAAAGGTAAGCAAAATGGTATAGTGAACCTTAAACATCCAACTGCAACAATAATCAAATCATAGTTAATCTTGTTTCGTTTATAACTCGCTCCATCTATGTATTCTTGTGAAGATACCGTGTTATCTATAATTGAGTCCAGGTGTGGCTATGTTTTTGTTTTGTTTTTTAAAGAGAGAGCCGTTATCTTTGCAGGTACATTTGGAATGTTGTTGTCGTTGTTAATAGCAACCCTGCATAGGGTTTCTGAGAAGTGGATGGTGAGTTTGGACTGCAGACCTTGCGATTCAAACTGACCTTGCAAGCACAATACAACTAATAAATTACAACCACTTTTTATCATTTTCAAATATTCAGTAGTCAATTGTTAGCAGCCCAACACTTAACTCACAGCACCACCAAGGTTCCTTCATTTGTCTCATAAATGTCATCAAATCATTTTTTAGTAATTTTTAAGAGTTCGACAATTTGAATCATATAAAAGCTACATATTATGATATATTGATATATCTTTTAAGTGTCTTCTTACTATGCTGCTGTTGTTGTTAAGTGCTGCTGAGTCAATTCTGACTCATAGTGACCCTGTATAAGTGTTCTGAGGAGCAGCTGGTGGATTTGAACCACTGACCTGTTGTTTCAAACTGATTTTGAGGTTCAGTGCCTCCCTTTCTCTCTTTATTCCTTTACAATTTATTTGTTGAGGAAACAGTTTCTGCTCTTAAGTTTCCATGAAACTTAACTGGACTCCCTCACCTTCTGACCTATCCACCCCACTCTGCTCATCCAAGGACATTATTCCTTGTGCAGATGGTGTGGCCTTCTCTTGTCTTTGTCTCCATTCCTTCTTGTACAACTTGACACATGCTTGATATTATGGCTTCGGGTTGATAAGAGATTATAGTAATTCAACTAGGATACCTGTCTTTCCCACACCTAAATCACTAGTTTGACTGTATTTGTTTAGCTTTTTTCCCTTCACCTAGAATGTTCATTTTTTCCATCTTCTCATTTTCTAGTCCTCCTCATCAGACTCCTCCTCCACCATCATCACCCATACCTCAAGGATAGCATTATGGTGTTTCCATGGAGATCACCCACTCCACTACCAATCCTCCAGGCCAGGTGGACTCTTTCCCACCTCGAAGCTTCCATAGGAGTCTTAGTGTGACGCTGTAGGATCAGCACTGGACTGCTAATCACAAGGTTGGTGTTTCAAACACACCAGCTGCTTCTTGGAAACAGGGTCTCTATGAGTCAGAACTGACCCCACAACACAGAACAACAACAGGGCTTCCATAACATTTTGTTCTACCATCCTTTCTGGCACTTACCCCTTTACATGCTGTGCCCATCAGGATGTGTCTCAAACAGCACAATTCTGTGGCTTATCTTTGGATCTCCCACAGCTCTTGACACAGTTCTTTGTTCACATTGATTACTCAATAACTGTTAGTGAAGTGGGTGAAAAATTTGTTTATATAATAGGTTGTTTTTGTTCTTTCTGAGGAGCCCTGTTGGCACTTTAGGGTAAATACTGGACTGTTAACCACAAGGTTGGTAGTTCTCTGTGGGAGAAAGATGAGGCAGTCTGCTCCCATAAAGATTTAGTCACTGTGAGTCAGAATTGATTTGATGGCTGTAGGAAAGGGGCCTGGTGGCACTGTAGGATAAGCACTGGACTGCTAACTGCAAGGTGAGCACTTCAAACCCACCAGCAGCTCTCCAAAAGAAAGAAAAGGCTTTCTGCTTCTGTAAAATTTATAGCATGCAGTCTTTATGAGTTAGGATTCGCTAGGAGTTAGAAGACTTGAAGTAGTGGGTTTTGTTTGCTCTTTCTATTTTGTTGCCCCTATAAGGTTATACTTGTACATTTCAGAAGATCAGATACTATGTCTCCTGAAGCCCCACAGCTTTCGGCACCAGGCTTAAATCATGTTTGTATGGTTCCATACACTTTTCAGTGAGTATTGGAGAGCACTGCTTAATATATACTAAATTGCTTTCTTCGAAAAAATTGTCACATTCTTTGTTATGTGTAGATAATATGTACGCTTCTATCTGATCAATTAACCAAGTTACATATTGTAAATCAATTAACTAAATTCTGTTTAACTATGTGGGGGACACTGCTGGCTTCTTACTCCCACATTCTTTCTTGCTAACCATACAACAGCTTTGCTCATGTTTCTTACTACATCTTCATCCAGTCTCCCAGTTCCAGCAGTAGTTCCTGATTGTTGTTAGTTGGTACCAAGTTGGTTCTGACTCATGGTTACCCCATGTACAACAGAATGAAACATCACCTAGTCCCATACCATCTTCACAATCATTGGAAGATTCAAGTCCATTGTTGTGGCCACTGTGTATTGTATC